ATAGTGTCATTAGAGCTGTAGTCATGGAGTCACAGCATGCATCCAGATTATCCATTTCTGATATTTGATCCCAACTAATATTCCTAAGGTCATTTTCAAATTGTGCAGTTTTTGATTTAGGAATGACCACCTTTACCGGGTCAGGATTGCTGTTACCAAAATATTGAAGACGCCTTTTTGTCAATTTCCTGACTGTGAGAGTCATGTTATGGTCAGACAGACCAATTATTAAATTATGAGTTTTTGTTATCCGATCAGTTTTGTTGGTAAATACCATATCAATCAGAGTTCTAGTGGTGCTAGTGATTTTTGTAGGCCCCTTAATTACTTGCTTAATTCAATTCAATTCAATTCAATTTATTTTGTATAGCGTCAACTCATAACAAGTGTTATCTCAAGACACTTTACAAAAAGCAGGTAAAATACCTTACTCTTTGTCTGTTAACATTACAAAAGAGCAGGTAAAAAGACCTTACTCATTGTTATGTTACAAAAAGCAGGTAAAAGACCTTACTTATTACTATGTTACAAAGATCCGGCCTATCCATCATGAGCACTTTAGCAAAGCAGCAAAAGTTACAGTGGTAAGAAAAAACTGCCTTATTAAAAAGCAGAAATCTTCGGCCGGATCCCCGGCTCATGACGAAACAGCCTTCACAGGCCTAGACTGCGCCGGGGTTGGAAAGGGATAGGGGGAGAGATGGGATAAGATGCAGGAAGAGGGATAGGGAGCAAGGGGGTGGGGGGAGGCAGACCGTCCATCAACAGTCCGGTGGGGAGGGGGGGTGGGGTTGTTCTGGCAGGCCGTCAACCAACGATCTTGAGGAGCCTAAGAGAGCTCAAGAGCTCTCAGGAAAGTAAGTGGTTAGTGACTGAGATTTACAGATAGATACATGTAGTAATATGATGTACTGTATATGCACAGAGAGAGAGAGAGGAGCTCAAGGTGCCAGTTCCCCCGGTAGTCTAAGCCTATAGCAGCATAATTAAGAGCTGGTCTACACCAGCACTAACTATAAGATTAAGGTTAAACTTTGACATAATGACTTTTAATTTGTTTTTGCTGTCTTTGTCTAACCAGTTAATGTTGAAGTCACCATAGAGAATTGTTTCTTTGCAAGTATCTAACCTCTTCAATACATCTTGAAGTTCATTGTAAAAGGAAACACTAGATGACGGTGGGTTATACAGAACAATTATATTAAAATTCATTTGAGGTGAAAGAATAACATTAAGAGATAAAGATTCAAGAGGAGTTTCTAATTGTATTTGTTTGCATTTAAACCTATCTTTAATAAAAAGCAGTACTCCCCCACCCCTACCTAATTGTGTATAACCAGGGACATCAATCATGTTAGTTGGTATATTGCTATGCAGCCATGTTTCAGTAAGGCAAAGATAGTCCAAGTTTGATTCTGACAACAAAGAGTGAATCTGATCTATTTTTGGAACTATACTTCGGATATTTAAATGCCCACCAAGAATGCCTTTAGGTTTAGATTTTAAATTCCATAACACTTTGGCATGGTTTACTGTCTGAAAGAACAGCAATTGTTTTTGCTTTTGCCCTGCGCGGCATACAGTCTTTCCAAAGCCCGTTTGCTAACGTGCTTCAGCAGTTCCCTTGGCGGTGCACACTGACACAGATACGGCTTTCAGTTCCGACAGTTTGTATTTGTCTGTGTCAAGTCCACATGCATAATTGGGTTCCGTTACAGCGCTGGATGGCGGGTCCGGCAATTCACTAAAATCTATGGGACTGACAGTGGCCTGTTTTGTTTTAGCCCCTGCTTTCGGCTCTGACAGTTTGTTTGTGTATGCGTCTGTGCCGACGTGTCTGCACTGACGCGGTTTGTGTGTGTCAGATCCAGATCGAACAGACTCACCACCTAGCGATTCCTCCGCCGCTGTTCTCGCAGTACTCCGCCGGACATGCTGAACCTTGGCTGGCAGGATATGGGGCACTTGTCCTGCATCCGAGTTGCATGATTTTCCAACAACTGGTGGTCCGGGATTAAGATGTGTGTCGCCGGCCAGGAGTAGTAGAACCAAGATAAGACTTTGCACGCGTCCCTTGCTGAGCCGTGTTGAAAGTTGTTTGGTGTTTTTTGTTTTTGCATATTTAATCTGTCCCTTTAGTAAACAGGCAGAGTACAGGGTGAGATGTCCATGTCCAAAATAATAAAGTTTTGTTTAGTCAACATGATTAGCCGACCATGTTAAGCTTGATTCGGTGTGATTTTCCTTGTGTTGCAAGAAGTGTCCAATTAAAACCATCAGGATCAAATAGCAGAAGAACAACAAGCAGACTTTTCCTCGGTCAAACAACTTCAATTTCTGATTTTTTCGTTGCTTAAAGTTTTCCTTCGGATATTTTCCTTTACAGTTAAAAAGTTCCAGGAAAAAGCGCAATAATACATTAAAAAATGACAAGTGCAGGAGGACTGGAGTGGAGCCCAACAAACCACTCGCGTCCTCTGCAGCCATCTTGGAATATATCGTATTCAAGGCACTTTGGTGTGCAAGATTCATGGCCAAATGATACCTTCAAATTCAACAGAAGCTAAACACCCAACCAACACAAACTTACACACACATTCACTTCCTATATGTAAAGTGAATGATCTGTAGATCATGTGCAGCCCGAACCACGGGTGGTTATCCAAACAGAGCATCCATTACATTCAAAAGTAAACATTTTAAGCAGCTTTCATTTCTTTTCCTGCATTCTGGTCAGTTTTTATTCACCATTTTTTGTTTTGTTTCTGCAGAACTTTATGATTCTTATCTCGTCTTTTTGTCCTTTTTGTGTCTTATGCACAATAATGAATGCATTCATTGAATATTTTTTAAACATGTGGACTGGACAGTTGACTCTGCACTATTCCAGCCCTGCAAAGTTTCTGTTTACAAGTAGCCAATATGTAAAATTGATATATAATTTAGTACGGCATTATTTTGTTTATGAACTTGTAAGAATGGCAAACTGTGAACTTTTAAACAAAATGATCCAGATTGTGATTAATTTTCTGTGACAAATGGTCATACAGTGATCTTTGATGTTTTTATTGGTTTATTGTTGTTTTTGTTTTAAGAGGGGTTAGGACAGTTTGATGACTATCGCACAAGAGAGAGAGAGAGAGAGAGCAGTCGGATGCTCCAAGTAACTCAACATTACTCCTGTTTTTAAAAGTTTGAGTCATTCTGGAGCTTCATTCTACAAAGGTATGGCTCCGTAGATTTGTTATCATGTTTGAAATGTCAAATATCAGACCTGAAGACTGTCTTTGTCAAAGCTTTTGTTCATGTTTCTTTACCATCTTCATCTTCAGTGGATGAAACGTCCTCTGAAGAATCCAAACTAAGAACGCTTTATGTTCTTTGAAAACAACAAAGAGTTCAAAATAAAGAGTCAAAATATCTTGTTAGTGTGAATCCTCTGCCACCTGTAATCACTTATCAATAAAGTATTTCTACACTTGATCTGAATCCGTCTTTATAACTCGTGTTGTGTGTTTTATTGATGCTTGTAAATGTCATCATGGACGACTCTTTCTCCTGACAGAATGAGTTTGTCTCTGTGATTAATAATAAAGTTATTCTTATTAATTCAGGTGTTTCTTTAACTCCAGTCTGAACCTGCGACATGTGAAATCAAGTCGATCAGTGTCGTCTCTGACTCGTCCATCAGGTCGGACAGGAGAAAAGAAATGTCCTGAAGGGAAAGAGTTTGATTCAGAGATCTAACGAGCTCTGGAGAACACGGGTTCATTATTGAAGGTTAACCACCTGATGAACATCACATGTCAGTTATTGAACACTTTAACCGTTTGAAGATTTATTAGAGGAGGAACAGGGACACTTAAACCCCTACACCACATTAAGCTGATGATTCTTGGAGGGAACATAAAGCTCAAATGTTGGATCACAGCATTCAAAGAGAGATGGTGATAAAGTCTTGGTTTGGAAGAAGGAAATAAACACTGTATTGTCTGATAGGACATCACAAAGGTCTGTTAATGAATAAACAACACAGGAGAGACGTAAGAGGATATAGTTTGACTTGAGTTTAGGACTTTATGTGGTCAAAGATTAACCTATAGAACTTATACAGAGATATTCAGCTAACAGTTTGCTGAGCTTGATTACAAAACCTCAAAGCAAAAATGTGAGTTGAATCAAATTGCCACAATATGACTCTAATCGTACAAATTAACATTTTCATTAAACTGAAATACTTTGTGCTTTAGCCATTAATTCTCAGGCTGCTCAATAAGGCCTCAGAGGGTTCTGATTCTCCTCACGTCCTGAAGCTGCATCAGAAATTGTTCATTCAGAAAACAAAGTTTTGAAAAAGTTAGACAAAAAAGAGCTTGTACTTCATGTGTTTTTCTCTTTTGAAAAAATATTTCGTACCTGATCTCCTCTGGGGAAAAAAAGCCAAAAGTTATTGATATTAGTTACATATATGTATATATATATATATATATATATATATATATATATATATATATATATATATATATATAGATAGATAGATATTAAACATTCTGTATTATCTTTTACCTTGCTTGTGATTAAATTAAGGTAAAATCATCCATTCTTTAAAATGAATAAACAAGCATTCATGAGGTGAAAGCCTGGGTAGACCCCCTTCCCCCATGAAAGAAGGGCCCCTCTTAGATGTGCAGACAACCCTCCAGCCTGCAAGTACCCTCATGGTAACTTCTTTAAAAACTAAATCAAAAACACATTTGAAGTGATATTATGGTTTAAGACATCACAAGTAAACATGGTATTACTATTACTCTCACAGCTACAACAAATGTCTGTTCATCTGAATAAAGGTCTTAAAAAACACCTCAACTCTTTGATATGAGTGTTTATTAAATACTTGGCGATTGTATCACAAACACACACGGATGGGATTTTGCACATACATGTTGTCTGTAACTGTGCACACCTGTAGACTGACCTCGTGCCTGTTTGTTTGTGTTCAGGGTTTAGTGCCCAGCAGACATCGTCTCACCATGTGCCAGCTGGCTGTCCAGTCCTCTGATTGGATCAGGTGAGACACCTTTTTTATAGATTTTTTCCTGTATAGATTTTATTGACAGAAAAAATGGAAGGCAAATAACACACCCTACCACACACTCATTCCCACATGCGTCATCTAAATGCCAATTTCTGTGAGATCTGGTTTGTTTTTGCAGGGTGGACCCCTGGGAGTGTTACCAGGACACCTGGCAGACCACCTGCAGCGTGCTCGAGCATCACCGAGACCTGATGAAGGTGAGGAGATATCCGTCTCCATCGAGGTGTTTTTAGAAAGGGGCAAAAAGTTTAGAGTCTCTCCAGTAATGTCTGCAACATAATCCTTGATTTCAAAGTTGTTGTTTTTGTCTCTGACAGGCTCAGATTGTTGAACCCTGATCTTGCTTGCGTTTCAACAGCCAATCATACGTAAGCCAGAGAGCAATAGCCTGTCAGCTACGTAATAATGTGACATCATAGCACGGCCAGACAAAGTAGCCAGCCAATAAATGAATCAAAGTAAACAAAGTGTAACAATGAAGGATGTCCAGCAGAGGTCTGCACCTCCAAGGTCGTCCATGGGGCAGTGCTACCAAAGGCATTCGTCCCACAAAAAACAACAGCAATGTAATTAATGTCTTGAAATGTTTGAGATATTTAAACATGGTAAGTTTTGCGCTGTCAAACAGGAAGTGACGATTCTTCCGACCAATCAACGGACTGCAGAGTGTCGAGCTCCGCCATTTAGGGTCGGATTGGTACGCTTGGCAACCCAACAGAAGGGTAGCAAGAAAGGAGGACAGTACAGATTGGTTGTTTTGGTGCCATTCATAATTTTTGACAGTGGAAACATCAATAAATGCGTAACGTACCTCTAAGGTCCTTCTCTGAGAACACAGGCCTCCATTTGTGGAGCAGCTGAAACGCATGAGTTCCAGTCTACTTTGCTAAATAACAGATATTGGAGAGGCAACTGTAGACCAGAACCTCCTGTTAGATAGAACTATGTTTTTATTAGGGCTGTCAAATGATATTTTTTATAAAATGTGATTAATTGCGATGAATTCCAATAGTTAATCGCAATTAATCGCATGTTTGAAATTGCAAAATTTCACATTTAAAAACTAAAAATGGTAAGTCTTTTATTTGTTGTCCTGTCTTAAGCTAAGAGTACTTTACTTCCTGTGTGCTTTATTTTGAAATACAGTAAGGCCCTTCCTGTAGAGTGAAGGTTAGGACAGGAAGTTAAGCACAGAAACAGGAAGTGGTTAGGGATCGCAAAGTGACGTCAGACAGCTCAAAGGAATGGTAACAAAGGTCAATGTGTGATGTCATCAGGTGGATATTACTGTCTGAGAGTTTGTTAAAGTGAAATGAGACATTCAAAGATGCAGCAGTGTCCTTCTTTTACATCACTGAGACTACAGGGAGACACTGAGGACGAGTATCTACGGAGAGCCTGAAGGGACAAAATAACATGAGATTAATCACAATTCAGCCTTAGTTTCTGTCATTGAAGGCTGGTGGCTTGAAGAGAGAAAGAAGAGGCTGTTAATGGTTTTAAAAAAAGGAGTTTATCTTCTGAAATCATTCGACTTCAACCTCTTTGATGGAGACCTAGTTACCATGGAAACCTTGAGCATATTCATTGCACGTCCATCTCTGTCAGTTATCTGCTGGTTAGGGTGTCAAAAATGTTCCTGTTGTTGCTGATCAAGATGTTTTTTTTGCTCCTCAGAGAGTCACTGGCTGTATTCTGTCCAACGTCAACACGCCATCAACCACTCCTGTGATTGGTCAGCCACAGAACCAGACCCCACCCATCTACCAGAACCACAGCAACATGAACCACAAGCCCACAGCGAGTGAGTCTTTATCCTCCACCTTCATCATTTATCCACCAATCAGGAGGTTTTGAGATTGTCTAATTCTTCTTCTGTCTCTTCTCAGTCAAAGTTTGGGGGAAGGTCAGTGAGAGTCTGGGGAAGATCTGCTGCGTCCGCCCTCACATGGAGCGCTTCACCTTCGTCGGTGAGTAGACACAACATCAGTGATTCCGGGAGAAACTTTCACATTCATAGAGAAAAAGAAGAAACATAAAGAATCAGCTAACCTCAGAGTTTAAAGATGACATATCCTCCTCCTCCTCTTCAGTGTAAATAAGTCTCAGAGCTCCTCAAAACATGTGTGTGAAGTTTCTTGTTCTAAATCCACTCTGATCCTGTATTTGATCATGTCTATAAACCCCTCTATTTCAGCCCTGCTCAGAACAGGCTGTTTCTGTGTCTGTACCTTTAAATATGTAAATGAGCTGTGTCTGACCACGCCCCCTCTCTGGAAGGGCTTGGGTGTACTCTGGTCTTTCTCGCTCCATGTCCTATTGTTTATGGTGACAAGGCAGACTCAGAGGGCAGAACAAACACCTAGCTGTGGGAGTGTCACCCACCTGGGGGGAGGGGCTACTGCCCTTTGTGATGTCATGAAGGGAAAATCTCCAAACGGCCTGTTTGAGCACACATTTTCTGAAAAGTGCAGCAGGTTAAAGACGGAGAGGATGGACTTTTCTCATCATTGGGGGGTTTGTAGACAGACTAGAGACACATGTTAGAGTTAGAGGAACATGGAGAAGAGGATTTTACAGAATATGTGACCTTTAATAGATTCTATGCACCAGTAAACAACCATGGAAGTTCTCTGTTATAAGCCTTGACACAAACTCAGATTTAGATTAAGAGCTTACCTTTAGTGGTAGTCTATCTAACAACAGGAGCATGACTGGCGTGACGTTTCATGTTTGATATCCATCGAGTGTTTATTGAATTGCCAATGTGTTCTGTTCCGTTGTGTCAGATGAAAATGCAAATCTGGGGACAGCGATGAGATACGAGGAGATCGGTGAGTCGTCACTCTGGGCGTCATCAGACTCGTGTTTTGTGTTCTCTGGTTTCCTTCCTGCTCTGTTTGAATCCTTCTTGTTTGTTTTGTATCCGGTAAACATGTTGTTTACTCAGTAAACATGTTGTTTACTCAGGCCGTGTCTCTTTCCTCCTGCCTGTTTGTCGTCTGTAGAGTTGCGCATCTTGCTCCTGTGTGGCAGTGATCTCCTGGAGTCCTTCTGCATCCCTGGCCTGTGGAAGGACAGTGATGTAAGCACACTGTAACCCCGCCCCCCATCCACATAGCCCCACCCTCTTTACATCGTAGCTCCACCCTATAACAAACTACTCTGAACCCTGACATAATGATGTTAAAGTCGTGCAGATGTTTTTTTTAAAAAAGGAAACATCTGCAAAACAAAGTTACCTCCTGTAGCATGCAGCGGTCCTCTTCTCCCTCAGTGCTAATAAGCTAACCATGCTAACGTGAATGCTAGCTGTTAGCATGAGAGGATGAAGGAAATCTAGGGTCATTAAATCCTTGATAAAACTGGTCATTACTTTTCATCAGAAAAGTTTAACTGACATGATTTACTTCATGAAGCCTGGTTTATTGCGGGTTTTCCCATGATAACAAACAATTAACTGTTAACGTTTTATCGAGGGAAGAAATCATCGCAGGAAAACAAGGATTGTTATCTGTACTCACACATTTCAGAGAAGAATAAAATGCATGGAAGCTTCTGAGCAAAACCATGAAAAATGTGATTAACAAGCGCGTATTGAACCATGAATGCTGGACTGAACAGTTCTATATCATTTTGAGAAATGTTGCTTTCTTAGTATGCCCTTATCTGCTTCGGGCTTCTGTACATTTACAAGGTGATGTATGATTAATCTTTTGACAGCCCTTTTATAAAAGTTTTTAATCAACAGCAACAGTTCATGAAAGTTAAACAGCAAACTTCCGAGTCCAGTTGGTAAATGGGTTTATAGTAAATATATCTTAAGGCCCTGACACACCAAGGAGATCGTCGGTTGTTGGACCGTCGGTGAACGGTCGTCGCCCTAGTTTTTGCGGTGTGTCGGCTAGTGCAACTTTTTGGCCAAGACAAAAGTTCTAGCTTTTTGCCGTCTGCTTGGTGTGTCAGGGCCTTTAAAGTCTCAGTTTTCACTTTTGTACCTTTGTGTCCCGAGGAGTCACTGAATGTTGTGTCTCGTTTGGTCTCAGATGGAGGTGATCGTTGGGGATTTCGGGATCGTGGTGGTTCCTCGTGATGGAGCCGACACGGAGCGGATCATGAATCACTCCTCTGTTCTCCGCAAATACAAGGTCAGATCACTGTGAACATCTTGTTCCTCCCAGGTCTCATATTAATATTTAAACTGTACGTCAAGAGAAGTGTTTGTCATCGTCGCATCTGATTTCTGTGTGTTGTTTCAGGACAACATCATCGTGGTGAAAGATGCCGTGAGCCACCCGATGTCCATCGTCAGCTCAACCAAGAGCAGGTAACTGGATTTACCTGCTGCAAACATCAGACTTAAGGTCAGGCTTTCCCAACTTTTGGGTCCTGACCACACGTGGGGTTGCATGGAATTCAAATGGGGTCGCCTGAAATGTGTATTTATTGATCAATAAAAAACAGAATTCAGGAGCCATTGTTCTTAATCCACCTCATCGTTCATGGCTTTGACTGGAAGCGTAATGAGCATGTGTGAAATGTCTCTGATTTCAGAGGAGCAGCTGTTTTTAAAAGTTTGCACTCTGAAACCCTTTTTCAGGCACCTGAAACGCCGTCGCCAACATACAACTGAATGTTACTGATTTTGGCCTAAACCATTTTGTAAACAGGGCCTTACATTTAACCACGGTTAGTCAAGGACGGAGACTTCGGTGGATTAAATGTTAAACAAAAAAGGCAAAGACTGATTGTTTGTTTTCTCTCCATCAGACTGGCCCTGCAGCACGGTGACGGCCATGTTGTGGACTACCTGAATCAGCCCGTCATCGACTACATCCTGCAGAGTCAACTGTACATCAACGCCTCGGGATAGAGCCCGCCACCTGCACGCATGAGAACAGGGAGGGTGGAGCGGGGGGAGTGGGGCTACCTAGAACCACCATCATCTATCTGAATACCCCCCACCCTCCAAAACAAGAAAATAAAAAATAACGTCTTCTGTGTCAAACATTTACTCTTCTTTGAACTGTCGCTTTCCAACTCCAACAGGAGCCTTCGTGTCCCGCCTTCTGTCTGTGTCATGTGACCTTTCCATCAGGGATCGGAGGGGGGAGGGTGGGGGTCAGGGCGGGGCATTTTTGGATGAGATGGGGTAAACTCAAAGGGCTGCAGAGGTGTCATTGTGCATATATTTCCACTGCAGTGGTGACGGCAGTGTTTACTCACTCTGTTTGTTATCTGTCTGTATTCAAGTTTGGGGATGCATGACACACAGCCGGGCATGCTCAGTGTACCGACGGCAGACGGTAAAAAAACAACTCTTCTTCTGTATCAGGGTGGCGTTCAGTTTAAAGAACACAGGGTTTTTATGGGGGGGCCTCATGAGAGATGTGTTGATAAGGATGAGTGATTACAGGGATCTTTCTCACAGCTGTGAAAACACAGCAGATGAAAAGTAGACCCATTTGGATTTCCCTGCAGAAAAGGGGAATGCTGAAAGCTGAAATGCATCGCAAAACACTGCTAAACATTTAGGAATAATTTTGTGATTTGAAATTTGCGAGTAATCAAGCTGCCTCTAAAGTTTGATGGGCGCTGTTGTAACACGAGGTGGTCAGAGTTGTTCTTGCATGAAGCCCACTGTTTGCTCTGACGTCTGAAGGGAAACCTAGCACGTAGAGCTCAGCTCCCGTCTGTCACTGTAGCTAAAACTGTACATAATGACACATCTACCATAGTTCAGGTCAACTGTGTAACCTCCATGCTAAAGGTTTATCAACCCGAGGGTAACCATGGCAACAGTGTTGATGCTCTAGGATGTGTTGGTGACTGAAGAAACTGAAGTGTATGTGGAGAAAGATTCATTGTGTTCATGCAGCTATTTTCCTCTGAAAACATCATCGGGCGGGAAGCTAACATGAGGCATTTTCACACATTTACTCCTGAAATTTTCAACTTCCTCAAAGCCCTGGTAACTTTGGGGTAAACCCTGAAAATTGGGGACATTTTAAGCAGTTTTGGGCATGTGTGGAAAGCGCTAATGCGATCATGATGCTGTGTTACGTGAAGTAAATCCAGGTTAGCTGAGAATTGTTTTCACTTCAGCACTCGTTGACAAGTAAAAAACTAATAAGACCTAAAATATGGAGGGAAATCAGGTTGTATTTTAAAGAACAGCAACATATTTAATTACACATTAGCTACCTTTTGAAAACAGATAATGCTGGATTTCAATCGATTCCTGAATAAAGTTACTATAGCTAACGTTACGTTAGCTAGAAAGAACGATAAGTAGTTGTTTGTTCCAAGCTCACATTATTTCAAGTGGGAATTTTAGTGTTTTTATTGTAAGGTTGTCAAAATCTTCTGTACTTCATTACATTTAGATCCCACTTGTTTTAAAACCACCCTCTTGGTTATTTTATTGATCGATTATATTGATAGTGACGAAACTTAAAAAAATCTTCAGATCTTAAGAGAAAGAGGGAGAGCAGCGGTGGGTCTTTCAAATTCACAGGTTGGCAGATACTGACTGTCTTGGACGATTCTGCATCAAAGCAGAGACAGAACAAAATCAATTATTGCGGTACTGACGTCGCTTTTCGTGTTTCTGGCCGCAGCTTGACCTTTATAACTGATTTATTTTGGTTTACAATGTAAAGACATTTGTGTTGATGTTAATGTTCTAAAGTACTTAATGAATAATAAAAAGGGAGTTCATATTTATCTGACTGCTTGTCTTCATTGATGAAAAAGTAGCAGTCTGCAAGTTGAGGATGCAACATAACAGTGAGTCAATTTGTTACAGGATGAGCGTAATCTAATCGTGAGACCAGTGAAGATGCACAACTCAGACACCTAGAGTCGATTCTCACTCAGGTCACCATGTGGTGGACACTGAAGCTTCAGTGTTTATCCAGCTCTGCATGGGTCTGTAAACCTTTCTGTGTTCTAACCTCTCCATTTTTCAAAAGCATCTCCAATATTGATCCTAGTTTGAGCACGTTTCTGCTCGTGGAGCTTATTAGAAACATGCAGAGGCTTTTTAGGTCGGGTACAATCACTTCTATCTGAACCACTTCTCTTGCTTGCTTGATCATTCTCGATGCTTTGGATTGATTGCAATGGTCAGAAGCACCAAATCTACACGGCTAACAACCTGTAACAAAGCAGTAGAAGATTTTAATGCCATTTTGACCTCCCACCCCTGAGGGTGATGTCTGAGGAAACTAGCTGCCTTCTGAATGTGGGCAAAAGAACAAGATTTTATGGACATTGGAATTATAATGTGATGATGAAGAAGAGGTGGGGATGTTTTCTGAGACCAATCCTCAGCGGCAGCGTTGTTGTCGAGTGTTTCGGGTTGTTTTTGTTTCTTCTTCGTGTGCTGTTGTTATCTCTTGTTAGGCTGCATGCTTAGACAGTTTGGTTCTGGCATGAACGTTCATCCACCTGGTAGAAAACAATCTGTTGTGAATGTGTTTGCATAAAGAGAAACAACACAAAAAGTAAATTATATATATATATATAAATATTAATAAACTAAAGATTGGCGAGCTTCGTCACCCACGTACGTCCATTTTCTATTCACTGTGTAAATGTACAGATCTGTACCTGAACGCCTCATCGATGTCAAATGTTCAAAGATTTGTACATTGACTCATGTTCTCTGCGTGTGCATGTGTGTGTGTGTGTGTGTGAGTGTGTGTGTGTGTGTGTGAGGTTCCCTTCAGTCACTTCCTGTTGTACTAAGTAGCTGAAAACGTTTGACTCTGCCTTCTGTCGCTCGCACTTTATTCGATTGTAAACTTTATTGCACTCTTAAAAATGACGTGTCAGGATGAACGTGTGTGAGTGTGATTACAGATCAGGGTGTGTATATTTGATTCAATGTTCTTGATTATTATTAAACTTAATTTGTGTAACTGACAGCCCAATTCATCTTTGAAATAAGAGCAGAGGAAAGACCGAAGTGAACACTGAAGTTAAGTCTGAACAATCGTTTGACTTTCATTTCCAACGAGGGATTTCTTTCTACTCATTATCTGTTTTCCCCCGATGCTTTAACACATGAATGAAGATTTGGACCAATGAAGTGAAGTGTTGTTAAAAATGATTCCCAAGCAGGGGCGTTCTCAGGGTTTCTGGGCCCCACTTAAAGATATCTCATGTTGACCCTCCACGCTCCACCAGCTCTTTAAATGTCACAATCTCTGTCTACCTTCTGACCGTAAACAATAGGGCATGAAGCGAAAGGGCTCGAGCCACCCAATGGTGCGTTCCATTTGATCTCGGAAGTCGGAAACTCTGAGTTGCCGGTCTATTGCGTCATCAGGAACGCCCCCTGAAGTCGGAATTCCGACTCGGAAACTCAGAATCTTCAGTAGCCCGAGTTCAGATCCAATATGGCCGCTACGTGCATCGACAGGGATGTTTAATTTGTGCAGCTTAGTCGTCTTTTTGTGTAATTAAATCAATCAAACTGATGGTATCATGCAAGTTCTCTCTGTGGAGGTGTTTTCATGTTATTTTCGGTCAAAAACTATCACGTAGTGTGTGGTTATCGTCTGGTATTAGCTAACAAAACAAAGGTAGTCCTGGAGGCGTCCATGTTGCTTTTCCGACTTGCAACTGGAACGCATTAACTCGGGTGTAACGTCATTCCCAGTTCTGAGATCTGAGTTCGGAGGTAAATGGAATGCAGCACAAGCCCTTCCAGAGAGGGGGCGTGGTCAGACACAGCTCATTTACATATTTAAAGGTACAGACACAGAAGCAGCCTGTTCTGAGCAGGGCTGAAATAGAGGGGTTTATAGACATGATCAAATACAGGATCAGAGTGGATTTAGAACAAGAAACTTCACACACGTTTTGAGGAGCTCTGAGACTTATTTACACTGAAGAGGAGGAGGATATGTCACCTTTAAGATCCCTTGGTCCGCACCCTTACACATCTGTTAATATTTACAGTCTTTGGTTTAGACTCACAGCTGTCCATACATATCATAAATATAATCAGAGTGGTGAATGACGACACTGAAACGTGAATCAGAAGTGAAAAAGTGCAGCGGGTTTTTATTTTAAAGCAGTTCTTACACATAAATCTTTCTGCTGGTCGGCCACATGGAGGAAAACACTGACGTCTGTACAGTTATAAATATAATACTTTGACACTCAGACATAAATCACATCATCATCAGAACAAAACAATAAACACATAGTTCCACAGACACAGCATCCATCTGAACAGCAGGTCAACGTCTGAGAAGAGATCCTGGTAGAGGCGAATACCTGAGAGGGTTATTATGAGGTTTCTTAAAGAGACAGTGTTAGCGGTGAATCTGTGCAATCATACAAAAAAAACAAAAAAAATGTGCCGTGTAAGCATGTCTGTTACAAATCTGATCTGCAGCACAGTAAGAAAGATGAGTTCAGATTAGTGTCGCTGAAAGTTTCATCACATCTCAGGATTGAATGAGCTGTAACAAACAGACAATCTGATCGACTCGATTCTGACAGACACGATATTTACGAGGCACACGACACGAAGGCAGTGAGGTTTTTACTAAAGAGATCGTCTCGAGGTCACACTGATGTCATTAGGGGAACCTTGGGTTTGAATTTCGCACAAAGAAAAAAGAAGCTCTCACCTCAGAGGGTTAAAGGATCTATCGCTATTTAGGAATCAATATTTAAAGACAATTCGGGTTGTCAGTTAATCGCGATTAATCGCAGGCTAGTTTTTAGTTTTTGGCTTTTTTTGTGCCTTTATTTAGAGACAGGAAGTGGAAAGAGTCAGAAATCAGGGAGAGAGTGGGGAAAGACATATCGGCTCTGAACCGGGGCGCCCGCCTGGAGGACCACAACCTCATCACATGGGGCGTCAAACCAACCACCTGGCCACCGGTACCCTGAAATTCCACTATCTCCACTTTCCTATCGCCAAATAATATCACATCTTATAAAAGTCCCAAACATCATCTCCTGACATCGTCCTGTTCACTCGTTATAAACTTTATTGAAAAAAGATAAACTTTAAAAAAGTACTGAATGTTTTTCTTAATGGTGACCTTTATCTCCCTGATGAAACAGAAGGATCTCTGCGGGTCATTGTCGGGGTTGCAGTGTTCGTTGTGGACATCAGGAGCATTTACGTGTCTCTGGGGGGGGTGCTCAGGCCTCCTCCATGGGGGGGAGGTTGTAGCAGCCTTCGGGGATGGAGCGCTTGATGTCCTCCAGGTTTGCGATGTCTTTCAGGATGGTGTCAATGTCCTGGTTGATGCCGGTAAGACGGCGTCTATGCGCGGCCTCCTGGTCCTCCATGTCCTTGAGCCGAGGCCTCAGGCGGTCCTCCACGTCCCTCTGAGCGCCGGCCAACGAGTCCTCCAGCTGCTTCAGCTGTGTCTCATCCACGGGGCTGGTCTGGCCTACAGAGGACAGAAACAGAGATCGAAAAGATGTTTACACACAAGCCCCGGAAGTCTTCCTCCACAGCGAGAACAATCCCTTTCCCAAGCGAAGGAGGACAACAAGGCAAGACGTGGCAAAAAGTAGATGCTGACATGGCGGATGTAGCGACAGAGGGTGACACTAAAATAACATTCTTGACATTTATACACATCGACGTGTAACTAGATGTGTTCAGGGTATCACCAAAGAGTGGGAAAGAACGAACTGGAGGGAAGTAAAGAGTATGAAGCAGCTTCATCATGTGCACAAAGATCAGAGAGCTGGCAAGTCCTGTTTAAGTGTGGTTAAAGAATTGGGCCGTTTGCGTTCACACATGCAGCTCAGTTAGAAAGTTTTTGGCCAGTTTTAGTGCACGCACCTCCCCGCTCCAGGAGTTTGCAATGTAACCACAAACTTGATCCTACAACATGACAGAACAGATCCTTACAGAGATGCATCGCTCAGCTGCTGTCCTAGTTACTCACCCGTGTTAGCAAGGAGGTCGTTGACGACCCTCAGAGTGTCTCTCACTGAGTCTTTGGTCTGTTTGGCGTTGTTGAAAGCTGCTAACGCTCCAGCGGCGGTCTGCGGAGGAAACGTTTACATCACTTTTAATTTCTAGCGCCACAAGTTAAAAAAAGTTGTACATTTACATTGATATTTGAGTTTACCAGACTGGCATCGTTCCCCAGCCCCCGGGCGGCGTTCAACTCAGTGATCAGGTCTCCCGATACTCGGGCGGCGTTCTCCCCCAGACCTTTGACCTCTTTGTTCAGTTTGATGGCTTCGTTCATCAGGTCAGCATGATCCGGCAGAGATCCGATGTTTTTCTTGAGGTTAAAAAAAGAAAACAGTCAGAACAGAACAGACGTCCAACACTGTCAACTGCACACACACACACACACACACACACACACACACACACACACACACACACACACACACACACACACACACACACACACACACACACACACACACACACACACACACACACACACACTTTTCTGTTATTTTTATTCTCTATTCTATTTTCACAAGATCACAGATGATAGTTTGTTACCTCCAGATCGTTGACCAGGTTCTCCAGCACGTTAATCGTTCCCAGGGCGTTGTTGTAGCTGTTGCTCACGTTTTCCAGGACAGACAGCGTCTGGGCGTTGTTCTCGACGGCCCCATCGATGGTTCCTTTGATGCCGGGGAGACGCTTGATGGCGGCGTCGGCCAGAGCTTTGCTGCGGTCAATCTGCTGGTCGAATCCTGTGGATTAATGACAA